TGTGAAGAAAGCAAAGGCAAACTTTCTGAAAGAAACTAAGGACAAAGGAGAGTTTACAACTTTCAGAGTGAGATTAAAAGATTCTGGAGGAGGAAACTTGATAAAATAAGAAGGTACAGACCATATGGTGTATCATGGGTTCATGATGTATATGGGCAACATGGGAATTCTTCATGGGAACTGAGCTAATCATTTCAGGCAATAGTTTTATTTCTTATAATGAGTTGTTTGGGCTCTCTATACCCTCCTGCAGCTCTTACAGATGTGAGCTTTTGGGGCTGCAGACAAGGACAGACAGCAGTGAACTATCAGAGTGACTATTCTTTTCTGCTTACCACTGCTACAGAACAGAGAGAAGACAATCATTAAGATAAGATTATTCTGTTTAAAATTAATTCTGTTTAGGCAAACAGGATGGCATTTAATTAATTTTGTAAAGAGTGGTAGCCAAAAGGATTTATAAAAGGGTGGAATAAAGCCACAGGCCTAATTTACTAGATAATGCAACTAGTCTTAATAACTGATCCCCTGAGGGTATCCGATAACCAAGTTCACTATTTAAAAAATTATCATGAAACTAGAAGATATTTACCAGGGATAAGAAAGGCTGGAACTTGTAATTAATCCTTCCTTACTGTTCAATAGAGATTAGGTCCTCATGAGATTGTTACAAATTTGAGCTCCTACATTTCAAAATAGATTTTGAAATTTTGGAGAGGGTCCAAATAAAATAGAAAGAAATGAAGTTTAAAATTGCCCATTGTTATAAAGGAAGATGAAAGGCTTATTTACCTGAAAGAAAACTCAGGAATGATAATTTCTGCTTTCAATCCTATATTAAGATAAATAATTTGGTTATTAAGTTGTCACAACACAACTGCATTAGTAGAGAGTGTTCTGAAGCCTAAAGAAGATGTCACTTACATACCAACAATTCGAAGAACAGTGTGAAAGAGTTATTTCTGGATATAGTCTTACAGGTTCAGCCAGAACCCCCCAGAAAGCAAGTGACTAGGTAGATCTACCTCACTGACAATGTGCAGAGCACTTGATTAAATAATGCAGGAAGAGGAAGAGATAGTGGGTATTTTCACAGACATGTATTCATCTATTTTTATTCTGAAGCATCTGAAAGAGCCTGAAAACTCGTGACAGGTAAACAGCTTTAGAATCTAAGGAACTGAGAGATACCACTGTCCCTTTACCTTCACCAATAGCCCTCAGAGGGGCTCAGTAACATCTGGGAACTTGACCTGATTTGGATTTCTCTTTGTGTCACATGTAATTTAACATTTGAGTGTCAGTTTAAATATTGTTGAGAGAATTAACAACCTGTAAAATCATCTATTGCATAGTGGGTTCATTGCTGCTAAACAAATCCAGCGAAGGAACTCTGATTCAGGTCCCTTTTCAGAAATGTTCCTGAAAGTGGCCGCTATATAACATGGTCAGATGCCAGGAAGAGGTCCCTGCCTCCAACGTGGCCTCCCCTTACATGCGAAGTCTTGGTAGACTTCATACTTTACCTACTACCACAGCTTCTGTTACAGATTAGATTGGTCCAGAGAAAAGAATGCACACTGAGAACAGATCATTTGGCAGCGGGTGTGGATGGTGGGGATAATGACTGAGAGTGTCCTGCATTGATGGGCAAAGAAGTTTGGGGGAAGAAGAGATGGGAGGGAAGCAGAAAGGAGAGTGAGAGTTCTCTAGCAGTTTGTCCAGGACCAAACCTGCTTTCAAAATTTAATACAATATTCACTGCTGGTCCTAGAGGGGATTCCTGATGCCCAGGTGAGAACCAGACACCTAGATTTATGGAAAGCATACCCAAATAAAAAACTCAAGTTCCATTCTTCTCTAGAATGTTTGCAGTGTGAATGGAAGTGAAGAATAGAAATTTAATACAAATATATTTTATCTTCACACCTGTAATTAAACTTAGTTTCACAAATCGTGTCAGGTTCCAAGAACCTAAAACAAATCTCATATTCTGAAAGAAAGTTTTTAATGTAATTTGATTAGTTTGGCTTGATAGATAAAAGAGAAGAAAATGAGACTTTTCCCCAAAAAAACTCTCAGATCATATTTATGATTATTTCTGAATATTTTAAAAAATATATCCATGCAAAAGGTTCATTGTTTCATTGCTCTCAAAGCATTCCAAGCAATCAAAATAATGTGGATATATATTTTTTATGTACCCAATTTTAAACAACTGTTACTGAATTTCAGTTAACATTAATAAAAACTGAAGAAAGCAATTTAAGACATGCAAGGTTTAGGAAAATTATTTCTTATTGGAATATTTCTGAAATATGCATGTATAGTATCACTGCATACATTAACTATTTAATTGGTGAATTTTTTTATAGATGAGATATGTCTAAACCAACTTTTTCCATTTAAGATGTTTAACGTGACATATTGGCAATTACAACTCCTTTAAGATAATTTTAAGAAGTTTACATACTGTGTAATTTGGATTCTACTGCTTCATTTGAGTGACTATAAAGGAGTTTGGGGTTTTTAAAGACTGAGAAGCATTTCTCAAGGTTAGCTTTTTCAAACAGAAAATTGAGTGTTACAAATTCCACCTCCCACAGACCAGAATTCAAAACCATTGGTCAGGGGCAAATACCACTGGCTCTGTGTCCTCAGTCACTTCGTGCCATTTCGCCAACTAGGAGCCAAGGTAAGTGTTTACACTTGCTTTCTTCTTGGGTTAGAGAACCTTTTTCCTACTATCACAACCTTTAAAAAAATAATTCAACTTGCTTTAAAATCTCATGGTGAACTTTGACTCAATGGATTGGGTGTAGGTTTTCTATATTTATATTTATAATATTCTTGGAAAAATCCAAAATTCTGAATTAGCTTAGGAATTAATAACATACAGCAAAATAGTTGATCTTAATAGTGATGACAGATGACAATAAAATTATAGCAGTTTCCAATACATTTCTTAAATGAAGTGCCCTGACATACCACATTCTTTGCCAGTATAGACAGGCACTATTGATCGTTATTGATTGAACTATTAAGCAAAAGAAGAAAATGATGAGATTTCAGATGTTTAAAAAATGTAATAATTATACTAGAATCGTGCATTTATAATGTCTGTTTGAGTGATATATTTTAAAGTTTTATATAAGCATGCATTTTCAAAATATCATGAAATGGAGTGAAGTAGACAACAATTACAAAGTTTCAACAGAGACTATATTAAATACTGATAAAATTACCTGAAAGAAGAAACATATTTTTAACTAAGCACAGATACATGTTCTTCATATTTCTAAGATTCACACTATTGCCTATTTGCTGGTAGCTTTAGGAGATATGCCAAATGCAAGTAAACTCTAATATATAGACATTTATAATCAAATGTAGAGTATAAAGTGAAAAAAAGAACCAGGAAGTGCATATTTCTTTGAACAATGCAAGTTGCCAGAAATGTACAAGGAAAAAAAATGTTTTTAGGTTGGGGTGGCCACTGTTAATGTTTCTCATCTGATTATAGGAGAATGGATCCTGGAAGATTTGCAAATCACTGTTTTATTAAGTAGGACTTTGTTAGTAATTGCATAAAACAGTTCCAAATCTGCAATCCTGCAAAGATCTCTTCAAAGGCAGGTAAAACAGAGGCTTAGTTTAGCCAGTTTGAATAAAAAAATTATTTGAAGAAAGCATAGAAGGGGATAAAAAGGAGCTCCTTGTACTGCTTCTGATTCTCAGAGGAATTTCATATCCTTCTGCCTAAACCTGCTTCATAAAGACTTTCTTTCAAATAACTGAAGGTCAGTGTGTCTGCCAGAGCATTCAGGTTTAAAAGTAATGTTTACCATGAATTCCCTTTTATATGTGTCCATAGGTACAAACACCATAGATACTGTTTTAAAGTAAATCCAAGAAGTGTATCGAAAATACAAAGCCTTTAAAATTAGACATGTTTGATAAAAAAAGTTTTACAAATACTGTGCTTCCCCAATAAATAATCATTAGGTAACATTTTTGATAGGCCCAACTTAAATGGTTAAAATTAAAATGAGAATTGTTTAAATAAACTAAAATATATTTAAAGGAGTAGATATAGAACTAAATAATTAACATAAGATGTTGATTAAATTAACAAACATATTGTTATCATGAAATAAGAATTGTGCTTGTTAAAGAATTACAAAACAAAAGATTTCTTTAGTCCTGTATGTGTACAAATCCTCCTTTAAGGGATCTCGCCAAATAGTGCCTTTTAGACATATATTCTTATTGATTCTGAGTTTAATCCTTAGATACCTTAGATATTAAGAATTGAAATAAAACACTAAGGAGTAAAGAAAAAATAACTTTCTGTTATGCTCCATTTAGTTAAGAATAAGTTTTGAAAAATATTGCATGGAATATTAATTCATGTACATATTAAATTATCTATATTTTAATAACACCCAGAGCAAAAAGAAGTAAAAAAAAAAAAGATCCTTATTATTTTGTCTGAAAAGACCCTAGGCTGGAATATACAAGAAACACTTGTAGAACTAGCCAACTCTGTCTTGGTTTTCTCATGTGTAAAACAGTGTGACAGTTATATTGATAATCATCATCCTCGTCATCATCATTCCTACATTCCAGAGTTGATGAAACAATCGTAATGCTTAGGTAATATAAAGACTTTTGGAAATAAGTATATTACAATCTTTCTGCATCCTGTTTGTACCATGTTTCTTTATAAAATAAAATCAATTTTACTGTATTTACAGTATCTACTGTAAAAATATGGATAGGTTTGTATCTTAATTTGAACATCTGGTATCAACAGCCATCAGAAAGCATATAAATTATTGTGTTATGTTTATAAACTACCCATGTAAAGAAAGCTACCAGCTTGAGTTCCTCAATGTTGACATTGATTTATCTATCATTCCTGTTTAATGCAAACTATTCATAAGTTATTATCAATTAAATATGCATGTTAATATTTTATGACTAGGAGAGTTTGAAAAATGAAAGCATTAGCAAGACTTGTTCTGGGACTTGTCATCTTTGATGCTGCTGTGACTGCTCCAACGTTAGAGCCCATCAACTATGACTCAGAAACTTATGACGCCACCTTGGAAGACCTGGATGATTTATACAACTATGAAAACATACCTATTGGCCAAGCTGAGGTACTTCTAGAAGCACTGTATGAGGAATTATTGGGGATTGTTTTCTTCAAATAGATTTTTGTTTATTTATATATTGAGATGTTCTGTCTTAATAATTTCATATGAACTTTTTCTCTAGAACATGTTCAATGTTAGAGATTAACATTGAAATACTCTTTTGTTTTATTACAGTTCACTTTATTTCCTCTATATCTTCTCACAAAATTGGGCCAAAAAAAAAAGAGTTATCAAGTTAGAACAGAAAAAAAGTAAGGAAAAAAGCCATAGGCAGTTAGGAAAAGTAAAAATAATGCATATGCAATGATAAAGAACTTTGGGGTGTTTGCTATAAAGGAAAGAAAATGTTAGATTATAATAAATTGGGAAGTAAAAAGAATATAAAAGACAATAGTTTGGGACAGGACAGTATTCCAAGAGCAAATGTGCTTTCCTAAATGACTGATTATCTCTCAGCAGTAATGTAGGCATTGGCAAGGTTACAGCCCACATTTTACAAATCTGATATGATATTTTTCTAATTAAATGTTAGGCTTTTTACATAACTAAAGAATACAAATTAATTTTTCTGAGTCAGAAAACAAACAGACCTTGAAATGCTGGAGTGTAATTAATGCACTACATTGACAAAAACTAATTACATATAAATAAACTCAAAGGGAAATTACATCATCATTACAGGGTCATAACATATTTTGGGCAGTTGTTCAAGTGTAAATCTTTCTTACAATAATGATTTAGAATAACTAAGAAAAATGAAATATTTAGATAAAAGCATATATTTATATTGTATGGAACTTAGATACATTTTTATTAAGAAACTAGAGGCCTGGTGCATGAAATTCATGCATGTGGGGGGGGGGGTCCATCAGTCTGGCCTACACCCTCTCCAATCTGGGATCCCTCTAGCAATCCAAGACCACTGGCTCCTAACTGCTTGCCTGCCTGCCTGGTTGCTCCTAACCGCCTCTACTTGCCGGCCTCATGTCCCTAACTACTCCCCTGCTGGCCTGATCACCTCCTAACTGCTCCCCCTGCTGGCCTGATTGGCCCCTAACTGCTCCCCCCTGTCGGCCTGATTGTCTCCTAACTGCTCCTCCCTGCCGGCCTGATAACCCCCTAACTGCTCCCCCTGCCAGCCTGATCATCTCCTAACTGCACCCCCTGCTGGCCTGATCACCCTTAACTGCCTCTGCCTTGGCCCCCACCACTGTGGCTTTGTCCAGAAGGATGTCAGGAAGATGTCTGATCTAATTAGCATATTACCCTTTTATTAGTATAGATAAACATTCTCATTATTATTTATGTTGACTTATGAAATACAAGAATCAGAATTTCACCATACAATAGCAATACAATAGTTTTCATGTCTGATCCCCTTACCCTATTTTTCTCTCCCTATCATTTTCTCTTTTGTCTTCTTTTGTTCTTTCTTTTTTTCTTTCTTTCTTTCTTTCTTTCTTTCTTTCTTTCTTTCTTTCTTTCTTTCTTTCTTTCTTTCTTTCTTTCTTTCTTTTTATTTTTTTGTACCACCCCTATCCTTTCTCTCTCACTTCCCCACTTTTCAGAAAAGTTTTAGGCTTAACAGTAGATCACTTTTCTTCTGCACATTGGACATGACTCTATTTTCTAAGTCTTTATTTTTTAAAATATGTTTTTATTGATTTCAGAGAGGAAGGGAGAGGGAGAGAGAGAAAAAAATCAATGATGAGAAATAATCATCTATTGGCTGACTCCTGCATGCGCCCTACCAGGGATTGAGCTGCTACCTGGGCATGTGCTCTGACCTGGAATCAACCTGTGATATCCTGGTCCATAAGTTGAAACTCAACCACTGAGCCACACCTTCTGGGCTCTAAGTATTAATATTCACTGTTTCCTTCCATTTTCTGTATGGCTTTGTTATGTTAAATAATTTTCTGTTGAGAATTTATGGTCATTAATAACCAATCTTGCTGTCTGTGATCCCTCTATATCTCTAATTTAATGCATCAGTATAGAGTATAAGAAATTTTTCTAGTTCTTAATTAATCTACTTTGCTCATTTTTCCCATCTTGTATAAATATTAAAAATATACATATATCAGTGCATATCTGCAGCTGTCTAACAAATTAAATATTTCAATGTAAACTTATTTGTCATTTATCCAAAAAGTGTTTTTTATAAGACCAAAGAGCTTTGGTCAGTACCATAAGTGAATCCTCTATTCTAAGTAGAGCTGAAACCAAGTTACTTTAAACCAAGGCTGCTCTGGGCAAAATGTGGCATCAATGAGCTTTATCTGCAGACTTCTTTTAAGTCATTTTTTTGCTGTCAGGATGCATTTTGCAGCTCAGGTGGCCCTACATATTCTCATGAGATTCTGAAATTGTTCCTGCTACCAAATAAAATAAGCTAATAAATATATATATTAAATATGATTTAGTATACAATCTTTCCTCAGTAATCTTTTATTCTGAAATAACAACCTTCCTTCAAATACCAAAAATGTGACATCATATCCTTATACACCCAGTCCTTACCTCTTGCAAGCATCCCTGATTTTCACAGGCCTTGCTAAACTCAGAATTCTAGCAACTGAGGGCTCCAGAGAGCCATTAATAATCCCTGTGGTTGATCAAAATATATAATTATCCTTGAGTTAACAATTATTTATGGTAAAGTCACATTAGAAAACCAATTTGTAGATAGATGATATATATAGATATACATATACATATACATGTGCTATGATAATATAACACATTTGAAGATATAAACTATATATCATTTTTTTAAATACAAGGTTTGTCCAATAACAAAAATCAATCAACCCATTCATCCACCGCTATGGTAAAAAGTCCAAAAAAATATGATAAATAAGATAACATGAGGAACAAGATTCCAAAGAACTTTAGCTTATATATTAACAAATTATTAATATACATTGCTTTACAAACAAACAAAGAACTGGTATATAATTCCTCATCAGAAGATATGAAATAAAGTCAATAGACCCAGTAATGTGAATGGATTCTAAACTATGGGTACTCATGACATTAACTTCTTGAATGTAGCCTTTGAAGTTCATACTCTGGTGACTCCTGGTAAGATTATTTATCTCATCTTTAAAATTAAGGGCAGTTGTTCCCCATGTTTTTGACCCTATGTAACACTTTTTGAATAAACACTGGTAATATGCCCAAATGTGATACAGTTGATGGAAAAATTGATGGTAAATAAAGCACCTGGGAAATGGTGGGATTGGATTCTTCACACTTTGTCCTCAATGCCAAGACTATGGTTCTGCCTATTTTAGCCTAACATTAATTTTACCTGCAGAAAGGACAACTTATATTCTAAAACTGTAAATTTATGAGACAACTGACCAAATGCTTCCAATGCCAGTTCCTTTCTTATAAATTCTGAGACTTGGCACCTTAGGCCAATAACATAGACCTTTTGGTCCAGGCTTTAAATGATTAATCCTTAAGGCTTTTGACATATGTGATAAACAGAATTATACAATGGCCCTTAAATGGCCCTTCCCCTGGTGTATCCACACCCTCTATAATTTTTAACATCATGAATTTATTTGTATATCACTCTTGCAATTAGGTTATGATTATAATCTCCTTTAAAAAGGTGATTATCTCGGTCAGCCAGACCTAAACTCATGAGTCCTTTACGTCAGTGTCTTAAAGTTAAGGACAAAATTTGAAGCATGAGAGAAATTCAGTACAAGGGAAACTATTGCAGGCTTTAAAGATAGATGGGTCCACATAGCAAGGAATGCAAAAGTCTCTAGATGCTGAGGGAAGCTGACAGCCAGCAAGCTTAGAGGGACCTCAGTCCTATAGATGCACGAAACCCCGAGCTCCACATGAAGTCACAGACCTGGCCACCACCTTAATTTTGACCTTCTGAAACCCTGAAGAGAGAATCCAGTCAGGCCAGCTCTGGATTTCTGACCCAGATAATTAAAAAACGGGTATAGTTTTAAGCTGCTCAGTTTGTAGAATTTATTATGCAGCAATAGAAAACTAATAAAGATGTAATAATTAATTTCTTCTGAAAACCAAATTTGAATTTACTGCTTCAAGGCTTGAGTTTGTGAGTCCAATGGTTTATCTGGTCAATAAGCCAAACCATTCCTTCCTCCTCAGCTTTAGAATCTCAATAGAGCTTTATTGATTTTTACTAGTGGTAGTATATTCATTACCTCCTTAGAGGTTGGAAAAGGGTCATGAAAGTTTTCTGTTTTTGAAAATTATATGCAGTAATAGTATTTCAGACTGACGGCATGTGATTTCTGATTATCTAGAATATCTAGGACCCTCTGGATTCTATGTTAGGAACAGATTTTAAGCCCAGCAATTCTATCAAAATGCTCTACATTACCCAGTAAGTACATTTGTTAGTATAATATAAAATTGTTGCAATTTTTACTAAGATTTTGTCTTACATTAATGGTATAAATAAGATGAAGTTATAAGCCATAAGACCAAATATAGATTATTTTTTGCTTTCTGATAAATAATAATTAATCCTGATTGAGCTCTTATAATGTGTTAGGTACTGTTCTAGGCATTTCACATGCATTATCTCCTTATCTTCTCACAACAAAACTATGAAGCACTATTATTATTTCCAATGAATAGATAAAGAAATAGAGACAAAGAGCAAGAAAGTAACTTGAATAAGATTGTATAGCTATACAATCATAGTGATGTTATCTTCTCATATAAGAAAATAATCTTCAGGAGATTAATAAAGGATTGTATTACCTCCCTCCATTTTCTATCATTTTCCAAATTGTTATTTTGACTTGATATTGGTATTAGTTTAATTGAATGTCAAGTGCTCTAACACTCCTAAAAGAGAAAGAAAACCAGTCTTTCATGGATGAATACTGTGAACTAGACATAACCTTTACTTCTAATAATTATTTAACTCACTATCATCTAATTACTATAAGAAATAATGGCTTACAACTCATTACTTCAAAGAATAATTGTGAATA